AGCAACCTCAGACTCCTGGGCTCAAGCGATCCTTCTGTCTCAGCCTCCCAAGTAGCTGGGACTACAGGCATGCGCCACCATGCCCGGCTAATTTTTTCTATATATATTAGTTGGCCAATTAGTTTCTTTCTATTTATAGTAGAGACGGGGTCTCGCTCTTGCTCAGGCTGGTTTTGAACTCCCGACCTCGAGCAATCCGCCCGCCTCGGCCTCCCAGAGAGCTAGGATTACAGGCGTGAGCCACCGCGCCCGGCCAAATGGCTTTGTTTTTAATTTCAAGTCCAAAATGTTCACTGCTTTTACGTAGAAATGCAATTAACTTTTGTGTAATAACCTTCATCCTGATATGCTGTTATAATGACTTATTAGTTCCAGGAATTTTTGTGGATTATTTGGGATTGTGTACCTAGATAATCACATTATCTGTGAACAAAGGCAGCTTTATTTCTTTCTTCCCAATCTGTATACATTTTACTTCCTTTCTTTGTTCTATTGCACTAGCTAGAACATCAATTATGATCAAAAGAAGTGGTGAGGGGACGTTCTTGCTTAGAGTTCCTGATATTAGCAGGAAGGCATGTAGTTTCTGTCCACTAATACGTCACCTGTAGGTTTCTGTAGATGTTTGCTATCAAATTGAGGAAGTTCGCCTCTATTACTAGTTTGCCAAGTGGCTTTTCAAAAAAATTGTAGTAAAACAGACATAACAAAATTTACCATTTTAACTATTAAAGTGCACAATTCAGCAACATTATGTACATTCATAATGTTCTGCAACCATTATCATCTACTTCCAGAACATTTCATCATCCCAAACAGAAATTCTGTGCCCAAAAATAACTCCCCACTTGCCCCTCCCCCAAGCTCCTGATAACTTCTATTCTATTTTATGAATTTGACTATTTAGAAACCTCATGTAAGTGTAACCATAAAATGTTCGTCCTTGTATAAGCTGGCATGTGGCTTATTTCCCTTTGCATAATGTTTTCAAGGTTTATCCATGTTGTAACATATATCAGACTTTCATTCCTTTTGAAGGTGGAGTAATATTCCAAGTTTAAATTACATTTTGTTTATCCATTTACCTATGAATGGATGTTTGAGTTGTTTGCACATTTTGGCTACTGTGAATAATACTGCCATGAACACTGGTATACAGATATCTGAGTCCCTGCATCATATGATGATTCTATGTTTGTTAAAGATCTCACATACTGTTTTCCACAGTGGCTACACCATTTTACTTTCCCACCAGCAGTGTACACTTAGTTCTAATTTCTATACATTCTCAGCAACACTTATTTTTTTCTATAATGAACATTATAATAGGTATGAAGTGATGTCTCATTGTGGTCTGGATTTGTGTTTCTTTAATGATGAAGAGAATGTTTTCATGCTCTGATTGGCTATTTGTTTATTTTCTCTGGAGAAATTTCTGTTCAAGTCTTATGCCCATTTTTGGATTGGGATGGTTGTGTTTTTTGTGCTTGCTAAGGTGAAACAATCTTTATATATTCTGGACATTATCCTTTATCGGATATATGCTGTGCAAATATTTTCTACCATTCAAAAGGTTACCTACTGATATTGTTGATAGTGTCCTTTGATGCACAAGTTTCTAATTTTGATGAAGTCCCATTTATTTTTTCTTTGTTGCTTGTGCATTTGGTGTCAAATCCAAGATATCACTGCCAAATCCAATGTCATTTCTCCTAGAAGCTTTAGAATTGTAGGTCCTCTTTATGTCTTTGATCACTTTTGAGTTAATATCCAGTTTTTATACCACAATTTGAGGAAAAGACTTTCCTTTTTTCATTGAATGGCCATGGCACCCTTGTTGAAATCATTTGACCATATATGCAAGGGTTCAATTCAGGACTCCCAATTCTGCCCATTGGACTATGTATCTGTCTTTATGTAAATACAAAACTGTTTTGGTTATGTAGCTTTGCAGTACATTTTGAAGTCAAGAAGTCTGAGACTTCCAACTTTCATTTTTTTCAAGATTGTTTTGGCCATTTGGGTTTCTTGGGATTCTATATGTATTGTAGGATGGATTTTTCTATTTCTGTAATATGTCTTTGGGATTTTGATAGGGAATGCATTAAATCTGTAGACTGATTTTGGTAATGTTGTCATCCTAACATTATTAATCTTCCTAACCACAAATATGGGGTGTCTTTCCATTGATGTCTTCTTTAATTGCTTTCAACAGTGTTTTATACTTTTAGCATACCTTTCATCTCAATGGGTATATCTGTTCCTAAGTATTTTATTCTTTTGATGCTAGTAAAAATAAACCTGTTTAATTTCTTTGTGAGATCATTCATTGCTAGTGTATAGAAATGCAACTGATTTTCTGTGTTGTGTTTTGTGTGTTGATTTGTATCCTGCAGTTTTGTTAATTAGGTCTAACGGTTATGTAAAATATTAAGGGCTTTGTACATATAAGATCATGTCATGTGTGAACACAGATAATTTTACTTCTTTCTTTCTAATGTCATTGCCCTGTATTCTTTTTTGCCCTGTGTAATTGTTTTGTGTCAACTTCCAATACTATTTTTAATAGATGTGAGGAAAGCAGACACCCTTCTCTTATTCCTGATCTTAGGGGAAAAGCTCTCAGTCTTTCACCAGGAGGATGAGAATGATGTTAGCTGCAGGTTTTCAGGTATGTCTTTATCATGTGGACGAAGTTTCCTGCTATTCCCAACTCATTAAGTGCTTTTATTTTCAAAAAAGGGTGCCATTAGTGGTATAGTGAGATACTATCTATATTCAGGTTCCCTGAGATTCCATTTGTATTTTAGGGTAAGAACCTTCATTTATGTGTATCTGAGTTTCTGATGTTCTCAGAAAAGATGCTCAGCACCACTAGTAACATGCGAGCATTAGTAGTCACCATGAGATACCACCGTATACACACTAGTATGGCATAAAAATTAAAAAGAAAAAGGAAAATCACACGTGTTAGCAAGGATGTACAGAAACTGGAAACCCCACACGCGGCTGGTGGCAATGCAGAATGGTGCAGCCACTGTGGAAAACATCTTGGCAGTTCCTCGAAAAGTAAAATAGAGACTCACCATATCATCCAATAATTCCATTCCCGTACACTCAAAGGTAGTGAAAACAGGTGTTTAAGCAACAGCCTGTACGTGAATGTTCATTGCAGCATTATTCACAGTAGCCAAAAGGTGGAAATAACCTAAATGCCCACCAAATGATAAATATATAAAACAGTATGCGGCATATCATACAATATCATTTACCCACAAACAGAAACCAACTCCTGATGCGTGCTACAATGTGGATGAATGTCAAAAACATCACGCTAAGTTAAAGAAGCCTGACTCAAAAGGTCACATATTCTGTAATTCCTTCAATAGGAAATGTCCAAAATAGGTAAGTCCGTGGACACAACAAGCAGATGACTGGTTGCTGGGAGCCAGGGGAGGGTGGTGGAGTGACAGCTGGTACATCTGGGGTTTCCTTTTTGGTGCGATAAAAGTGCTTTGGAACTAGACAGCGGTGGTGGTGGCACAGCACTGTGAATGTACCAAATGCCGATGTACACCTGAAAAGGGTTAATGTTGTGTCATGTTACCTCAATAAAACCTTCTGAATGTTTTATTCTATAGCACCCTATTCTATATTATGGCTGTGATACTCTCTATTACTTCTTTGAGGATGTCAGTTTTCTTTTCCCTACTAAAGACTCTTCTATTTTCCACTTGCTTTTTCATGTAACTGGATTGTCACAAATACCTGATGGGACTGAGTTGCTCGTTCACATTCGAGAGAGGGAGACCAGCAAGCCACGGAAGCGCTGGGCTCGTGGTGGGGCTGGGAACTGTGGGTGCCACTCTAGGTAATGTGGGGGGTTTTGTGTGAAAGAATATCCAGTATTTGGATTTTATAAGGATTTTCTTTTTGGGTTAGTCCAATTCTCTACAAAAGGCTCTAAAATCTCCTGCTTAGGCAGGGCAGTGGCTCAGGCCTGTAAGCCTAGTTCTTTGGGAAGCTGAGGTGGGAGGACTGCTTGAGCCCAGGAGTTGGAGACCAGCCTGGGCAACAGAGTGAGCTCCTGTCTCTACAAAAAATTGAAGAAACAGCTGGGCGTGGAGGTGCACACCTATAGTGCCAGCTACTTGGGAGGCTGACGCAGGAGAATTGCTTGAACCCAGAAGTTGGAGGTTGCCGTGAGCTATGATAATGCCATTGCACTATTGCCTGGGCAACAGAGCCAGACCCTGTCTCAAAAATAAATGAATATTCAAATAAATAAATAACTCCTACTTGGAGGATGAAACCACCATAGCTGCCAACATTCTGGGGGCTGAGTAGCAGAAAAGAACATCAATTTATTTCCTAATTAATATGAAAGTTGCCACCAAAATTTCTTAAAAGGCAAAAACAAAAAGTTGTTATTTTTTGAAATAGAGGCAGGGTTTCCCTCTGTTGCCCACACTGGTGTGCAGTGGCACAATCATAGCTCACTGTGACCCCAAACTCCTGGCATCAAGCGATCCTACTGCCTTAGTATCCCGAGTAGCTAGTACTACGTGTGCACCACCATGCCCGGCTAATTTTTTTATTTTTTTAGAGATGGAGTCTTGCTATGTTGCTCAGGCTGGTGGCGAACTTCTGGCCTCCCAAAAGTTCTTGGATTACAGGTGTGAGCCACTGTGCCAGGCCTAAGAGTTATCTTTTACACTGACTTTATTAACCCCAAATATTGCCTGCATACGTTTTAAATTTTAAGGTATTCATTTTATAAAAGCTGATATGGCAATACCTGAGATAGGACTTGAACAGGCACTTAATGTGTACTCATTGACAAGATTAAATCCACTAGAGAAATACAAATAAAACTAAATCAGCAATAATATTTTACAGAACAATGAACCACTTGCGTGGAAAAAGAATGATATTCAATTTAAGAAAGAGTAAAGAACTTTACAGGAGGGAAAATCAAATGACCATATCTGAAACCATGGTAAAGTGAACAGAGAAAAGTTTACTTAAAATTATAGCTCTCTTCTTCATGCCCATCGAGACAGCGCAGTTTCTCAGAATAACCAAGGAAACATCCCTGATACCGTTTCCATGTACCACTGAGAGTAAAACCACCGTCTAAATAACAAGGCCACCTGTGACACTTAATATATGGCATGGAATTATCATTTCTAGTTTGTAGAGTAGCAATGAGTCTTCCATTTTAGCCACGGTCACTGAAAACTCTTATGAAAATTCCCGCTAAAAGGACCACAACAGCAAGAGCCAGAGCCATTCCACGATAGAGAATCAACTGTCTCAGGGTCAAGACGCCCCCAATGGTGGACACTGCTGGTGGACCATGGTGGACACTGGTGGACGCTGCATACTGGCTGTTTTCTTCCAGTACCATCAGTTGGAGGGTCTGGCTCTCTGGCCTGATGACATCAGGCAAAATCACTCCGTCGGTTCCTTCTCTGCCCGGGATAGGTGGATCTGTTTGCAGAGAACAGTGGGGGAGCGGGGTCAAATAAAGGGATTCCACTGAAACTGACACGAGAATACATTGTAAACAGTGACCATTACTCATCAGTTAGTGATCATGAAATTACATCCAGAACACACTTCACAGGAGAACCCAGAGTGAATTTTGCCAATTATTATGGCTGAGACAAGTTTTATTGAGCAAGAGAGCATGACCTCATGAATCAGCAGCTCTGGCCACACTAAGTTTCAGTACAACAGAAGTTTATACTATACCAGTTTTTTGGGAGGATAGAAATTGAGTATACCAGAGCATGGCCTCCCTTACCTGTTGGGGTAGGTATGGTCTCTTTAATCCCTTTTAGCCCAGCTCGAACTTGTGCCTAGAAACAGGTGTCACATGAAGTAAATGAAGTGTAAGTCAAGTCGAGCCAGTAGCCATTTGGTAGAAGTTCAATTTAAAGTTGCTGCTGAAACTATTGCTGAGGGGTTACGATATCTAGCGCATTCTGTCTGGGCCTGAAAATGCTATAAGCCAAGAGAACACAACACCAGAGAACTACTAGTTCCTGCTCAGTGCTCAGCTCACAATAATAATATAAAAACCTGGGGCCAGGCCTGGTGGCTCACCCTTAATCCTAAGCCTGTGGGAGGTTGAGGTGGCGATCGTCAGGGTCAGGAGTTCAAAACACCTGAGCAAGCAAGAGCGAGACCGCGTCTCTACTAAGAAAGAAAGAAGATTAATTGACAACTAAAAAATATATAGAAAAAATTAGCTGGCATGGTGGTGCATGCCTGTAGTCCAGTACTCGGGAGGCTGAGGCAGGAGGATCGCTTGAGCCCCAGGATTGAGGTTGCTGTGAGTAAAGGCTGACGGCCATGGCACTCTAGCCTGGGCAAAGAGTGACCTCTGTCTCAAAATCCCAAAAAACAAAAACAACAAAAAAAACCTGCTTGTTGCTAGATGCAATTTCACATATTTTTGCCATCTGTGCTTCAGTGTTCCTAGCAACAGATAAAGTAATAAAGGCTAAAAGGTCGAATGGTGGTGTCATCTGAGTGCGTCTTTTGTGTCCCACCTATTACCTCGCATAAGTTTAGTCCTAAAATAAATCAAACTAAGGATGAGGAAAGATTCATCATGCATTGAATTAGGCAATGCAGTAGATTTGAACCGTAGGGGTGATGGCAAAAGCTGAGCAGTGACGTGGCACCCAAATCATATTGGGCTCTTGTTCATAACAATCATCACTCCCTCCCCTGGCAAGCCACCACCTCATGCCATCTTAAGCTTGACAGGAACAGAGAGCCGCACTCAATGCACGGGTAAGCTCACTGGTCCAACGGTCGCTACCTTCTAACCAATGTGCTCATGCTTCTGCCC